AAAAGACCATGGCTTGGGTCAGGCTCACCTTAGTCCTCAAGGTGACATTTTTGCTTTTTAACACTTTAAAGAGGTCTTTTGTAGCAGATTTGCCTAATGCAATATGTCCTTTAATTTCTTGACTGCTGCTTCCATGGGCGTTGATTGTGGATCCAAATAAAATGAAATCCTTGAAAACTTAAATATTTTCTCTGTTAATCATGATGTTGCTTATTGGTCCAGTTGTGAGGATTTCTGTTCTCTGTTAAGGTGTAATCCGTACTGAAAAGTACTTGAAGAAATATGTTAACTATAGATTTTATAAAAACATTACAGTAGAAGGTAAGAGGGGACTTTGGGTACTGTTATGGATTGAATTGTGTCCCCCCAGAAAGATATGTTGAAGTCCTAACCCCTGTACCTGTGAATGTGATCTTGTTTGGAAATAGGGTCTTTGAAGACATTATCAGTTAGGTTAACACAAGGTTATAATGAAGTAGGGTAAGTCCTAATCCAATATGACTGGTGTCCTTATAGGACGAGAAGAGACAGAGACGGAGACAGAGGAAAGATGCCATGAAACACTGCAGATGCAAGCCAAGGAACGCCTGGAGCCACCAGAAGCTGGGAGAGTGGCAGGAACAGATTTTCCCTCAGAGCCTCAGAAGGAATCAACAAGCCTGTTACCCTGGTTTTGGACTCCCAGCCTCTAGAACTGTGAGAGAATAAATTTCGGTTCTTATAAGCCACCAGGTGTGTGGAATTTTGTTATAGTCACCCTAGGAAACCAATACAGGTACTAAATAAATTTTATGATTTAACGGTTAATATAAGTCGATTATGCATCTAATGACGTAGGTCCACACCTACTCAGCCACAATTCTGAAACCTAAACAGCTCTGAATGTGGAACACTTCTTCGCAACTCCTTTGGTGGTGAAACCCGGCCTGTGGCTGTGAAGTTGTTTGTGGTGGTGGTTCAGCCCGTGTTGTGTGAATACCCGGGTGCTCACTGCAGGGACATCAGGGTTTAGTCCCTGTGCTGCCCCAGAGCTGGGGGACGGGCAGGGGTGTTGCTTTTTCAATACAGGACAGTGCCCCTTCTAGAATTCTCAGCCTGACACCCGGCAGGTGTCGCCGTGGCATTCTGTGCTGCCCTTCCTAGAACTTCCTGAGCTTGGCTTTGGGAAGTCAGTGAAGACGTGTGTGTGTGCGCGCGCGTGCGTGCGTGTGTGCGTGTGTGCGTGTGCGAAAATACTGCGCCTGTGAGACAGGGAGGCTGCTTGAATGGGGGAGGGACAGAAACAGGACCTTGTAATTTAAATTTTATTTAAAAAATTAAGAAAGAAAACTCCAAATCTGACCAAAAAAAAACCAAACAACCCCATTGCCGTCGAGTCGATTCTGACTCATAGGGACCCTATAGGACAGAGTAGAACTGCCCCATCATAGGGTTTCCAATGAGTAGCTGGTGGATTTGAACTGCCAACCTTTTGGTTAGCAGCCAAACACTTAACCACTGCGTCACCAGGGCCCCAACTGACCAACTCCTGAAATTAGCCAACTGGATTGGTAGTGCCCCCGGGGACAGATGCTCGGCCTCCCGGCACCCTCCCGGGTTCTGTTCTGTTCTGTGGAGTCACGCAGCCCACGGCATCTGCGACGGCTCACTTCTCTCGGAAGTGAATGAAGAATGTGCGGATTTCCTTCGGGTGGACTGTGACAGTGTGACCTCCTGGCGTCCTTGGAGGGGAGCTGGAGCCACCTAGGGGACAGAGGTGGTCTGTCCAGCACTGCTCTGGAGCCACCTGCTTCCTCCCAGCCTCCCTCACAACTCTGCACCTGTCTATAGTCTGCTGTGGCTCCCACCGTGATGATGGCTGCCGCACCCCCACCCCAGCCCTCCAGGTCAGTGTGGGTCTCTCACGTTTCTGCTCTCCCCTAAGGGCCCAGCCCAAGGTGGAAGCTATTATATAGGCTAGCTCTGGCCTTAATCAGCCTCATTTCCCCAAGGGGTGTTGCATCAAACATCTAAGGGTATTCTGATGAGCCCTGCCTTTTACCTCAGTAGGCGCCACTAAAGCCACACCCTGATGTTTGGGCTTCACCCTTGGGAAAGAAGTCTGTTCATCCATCCATCCACAAATCTATCCGTTTGTCCATCCATCCATCCATCCACACATCTATCTATCCGTCCGTCCGTCCGTCTAACCATCTTCCCACCATTGACTGTCTACTCTGTACCTGGAACTCCACGTACAGTGAATAAAGGAGATGTAGGAGACAGGAAACATGGGGGAGGGCTGGGAGAGCAGAGGAGATTCATGACCCAGCCCGGGACTTGGGGACGGCTTCAGGGGAAGCCTGAGTGGGAGCTGGCCAGAATGGATGAGGGTGTTCCAGGCAGAGGGAGGGGCATGAAGCTGCCTGTGTACGCAGGAGCTGACCACGTGGTGCAGGGTGGGCACAGGACGGCAGAGGCCAGTGGGGCCAGGCTGGGCACCACCCTGTGAGCTGGAGAGCTTGGGGCTCTCACCTGGAGCATGGGCAGGGCGTGTGGTGGGGCAACTCCAGAAGCAGAACTGATGGACAGGCCGAGAGACACACACGGACACACGTGTGATCACACAGTACTCATGCACACACGCACATACCCAAACATGCACACACCACGCAACGCACACATGTGCTCACGTGTATGCAGTGCACACGTGCACACACATGTACACACAGGCACCAATGGGGGCCCTGGCAGGTTGTGGTAGTTTCAGGAGGGCTGCGGATTCTTTGAGACTCATCATGTGGCTCTGAGGGGCAGGCTGAGGCGCAGAGCGGGACAGCAGCTGCTCCAGGTCATGCAGCTCAGAAAGGGCAGGGCTGGGATCTGACCCCGGTCTGCCTAGCTCCCTGGCTGTGCTGAAGGCCATGTCGGCAATCTGGGTGGGGACCGAGGGGGGGTGGGGAGGCGCCACCTCCGCAGAGCCGAGCAGGGCTCCCCGACCTCCGCGGGGGCCCCCCACCTCCGCAGGAGCCCCCCACCTCTGCGGGGCTGAGCAGGGCTCTCACCTCCGTGATGGCGGCGGGTCCGTGTCCTCCAGCTCCAGCGGCGCAGAGTGCGCACGTCCGAGGTCCCTGTGAGCGAGCGCTCCTCCACGGCCACCACGGTCCCCAGGCCCCGCAGCACGGCCTGCGGGGACAGAGTGGGGACGGGGAGCCACACAGAGACCCCAGATCTGAGCATGAGAACAGCAGCGGGTGCCAACGCCGTGGACTGAGTGTTGGGGTGCGGCCCTGCCCCAGAGCGTCACAGGCCCCTCACTTCACCCTCACAGCAAATCCGCAAGGGCAGGCTTGGCGATGGGGAAACTGAGGCTGGGGCGGGCTGGATGCGCAAACGCAGGAGGCAACAGCACATCAGCTGCCTCCCAGCACGGAGCCCCCTCCCTGCCCAGGGCGCATGCGCAGCCCAGGGACCCAGAGGCACAGCTATTCCCCCCTTCAACAAATAGCCGCATCCCAGCCCCCCTCACAGCTGAGGGGACAGCGGCCCCATCTGCCACCGGGAGGAAGGACCAGCCGGCTGGGGGCAGGGGTGATTCCCCAGGTGACAGCAGGAGAGAGCCCCAGGGCGGCTGTACCCCACCCCCTCTGCCTTTCCCTAAGCTCTTGACACTGACAGCTTGTGACGCTGGGTCAACAATTAGGAAGACAATGGCCACGTGCTGAGGGCGGCCGGTGGGGACGTGGAGGTGACGGCCCACAAGGACAGCGTCCCACCCTGCTCCAGGCACTGCGGGGGCTGTTCCTAACTGGGGGAGGCTCCCTCCATACCAGGAAGAAAGGGTGCAGCCAGCAGATCCTGCTCCCCGGGTGCCCTCGGCATGTGTGGGCCGTACCTGCAGATCCACGGTCATGGGCTGAGACAGCAGTGGGTCCTCCCCTGCCTCATACAGGTGGTGGAGACGGAGCAGCACGCGGCGCAGGTTGGCCTCAACCTCCCCTCGGCGGCCTTTGGGGACAGAGCAGGCAGTGAGGGGCCCATCTAGCCTTGCACCCTGAGTCTGTGCCTGGCACGTACACACAACCCCATTGTGCATCCTTGGCCCCAGTGAGGCCGGCCACAGCCCCCACTGGACCGGCACCACATCAGGGCTCCACGAGGTGCAGGAGGGAGAGCCCAGCCTAGGCCTGGAGACCTCTGCTCTCGTCCAGGGGAGTCCAGCGGTGGGAGGGGTGTGGAAATCAGGGGCGGCTGCGGCCCCGTCAGCACCAGCCTCAGAGCTGCTCAGTGTAGACAGGCAGATGGGGTGCGGCTGCAGCAAATGTTTTGAGACAGATCACATCCGCTTCCACAGGCATTGCCTTCTCCAGGAAGCCCTCCCTGATGCTCCTGGGGGGGGGGCGTCCCTGTGATCGCGGCCATCCTGTCTGGTGACTGTGCCAACCCCCCTAGACTGAGGGGGGGTGAGCCCAGGGCTTTGCCCCCTCATCCCTGCTCCGTCCTCGGCTCCCGGCACAGGACCTGCTTGTCTAACAGTCAGGCTGCTCCAGCTCAAACGAGCAGTGGGCTCAGCGTTCTGGGCTCCAGGAGGATGCCTGGGGCAGGCAGGGCAGAGGGGGCCCCCCGAGGGTGGGGCAGGATGTGGACAGTGGTCAGGCTGGGGGTGGGGGCTGGGAAGGACCCCCTCAGACAATGGGGTGGGGTTGGAGACCCGGGCTGTGGTTAGAGACCTGGAGCGCAGGCCGGCTTTTGCCCCTGCTGTGATTAAATTGTGTCCTCCAAAAACCACGGTCAAGTCCTCATCCCTGGACCTGCGACCCTGGCCTGTTTGGAGGTAGGGTCTTTGCTGATGTTATCAGTTAGATTAACATGAGATCGTACTGGAGCACGGTAGGCCCTGATCCTACATAGGAGCGATGTCTTCATAGAAGAGGAGAGACGCAGATAGACAGGAAGACAGAGGAAGGGCGCCGTGGGAAGATGGAGGCAGAGATTAAAGTGATGTAACCACAAGCCTAGGATGGTGAGAAACCCCCAGAAGCCAGGCAGACCAGGAAGGATCCCCCACTAGAGCCTATGAAGGGAGCACGGCCCTGCCCACACCTCGATTGTGGACTTCCGCCTCCAGACTGTGAGCCAGTACATTCCTGCTGTTTTAAGCGCCCTGGTTTGTGGGAACTTGTTACGGTGGCCTGAGGACACTGACGTGCTCATGGCCCTGTGGGCCTCGGTCTTCCCGTTTGTCAGGTAAGGGCCCAGGTGACCTCCGAGAGCCACGACAAGCTGTCGGGGCAGCCCCTTCGTCTAGGGATGGGGCTTGCATCCCCGCCTCACCTTCCTGGAGACTCTGCATGTGCTCCGTGTGGTTCGAGCTGTACTTCCAGCCGGGGATGCTCAGGGTCTGCAGGTGAAGGCTCGGGGGCAGCGTCACGGCTGCCTGCTGCCGTGGTCCTGGGGTTGACAACAGGAGAGAGCCCCCGGGGCAGACGGATGGAGTGAGAGGGTCGTTGGGCCAGACTCCTCATCTGGGGCTCCCCCAACTACACCCCCACCCTGCTCCAGCTGATCCCTCCCCCCACACGCCCACCTATGGGATCACAGATGCTGAGTGTGGGAAGACCACACCTCTCCTAGTCCAGCCGTTTCAAATGACAGTGGAGGAGACTAAGGCCCAGAGAGGGTGCAGGGTCTGCTCAGAATCACACAGCAATTCAGGCCAAGCCCACTCTTCCCTGTCTTGTGGTCTGTCTCTCTTTCTGCTCAGAGGCACCATGGCCCTCTTCTCCCTCCAACTCTAGGCTCTTGGCTGGAGTTACCCTCCTCTCGCAACACCCAGGCCTCGGTGATTGGTCCAGGACCAGGCCACATGACCTAAGGGGACCAATCAGAACCTTTCCCTGGACATTTACACTGGGGACCAGGAAGTCTGCAGCTCGGCTCCTCATGGGTTCGGGGGACCTGTGGCTGCAGGGCCATCCACAGGGGAGGGATGGACAGAGGGACAGCCTTGGACCCAGTTCTGCCCCTGCCCTTCCCTCGGTCACGGGCCTTGGAATAACTGCCTTTGGCCGAGATGGTTCAAGGGGGTTTCTCTCGCTTGCAGCTGCAGAGACCAGCATGGGGCCAGGTGGGATGGGGCAGGCAGGAGCGGTGGACTTTCCCAGACTTGGCAGCTTCTCGTGTGTGGGAAAGGGCTGGCCCCTGACAGATCCAGGAGTGGACCCCGCCCCTGACCTCTCCTGCCCCCAACCTCTCCTGCCCCTGCCCCTGACATGGTCATATTGTCATAACTAGAAAGAACCCAACACAGGACAGACGGTGGAGAAGACGCAGGGGCAAGGTGCAGTGGGTGAGTCCCAGCCCTGCCGCTGACTAGCTGTTTGACCTCCAGCGAGTCCCTGAGCCTCTCTGCACCTCGGTTTGCCCATCTATGAAATGAGGGCTGGACAGGTGGTCCCTGAGGTCCCCGAGGTCCCTTCCTCCTCAAAAGTTGCCTGGATCCCTGGGGACACAAGCCCTCTGGGATGATTATGCGTCCACCGGGCTAGGTTCCATCTGCCAGTGGTGGGGCCAAACACTAGTCTAGTTTCTGTTCCACAACGTAATACAATGCGAGCTACGCGGCGTAAGCAGCCTTACTGCAGCAATGGTTAAGCACTTGGCTGCTAACCAAAAGGTCGGCAGTTTGAACCCACCGGCAGCTCTGCAGGAGAAAGACCTGGCAATCTGCTCCTGTAACGATTAGCTGTGGGGCAGTTCTACTCTGAAATACAGGGTCACTATGAGTCGGAATCAGCTACATGGTACCCAACAAGGACAACAGTGTAATGTGATGTAATGTAATGACCTTCCATAATGTAATCAATCAGTCGGTTGAAACGGGAGTTTCCCTAGGATGTGCTCTGCCTCCACAATATAAACAGACATTCTGGCAGAACTGGACTCTACGCTCTTTCTGTCACCTGACTTGCCAGCCCCCCAGAGTCAAGTGAGCCAACTCCCTGAAGTAAATCTCTCTCTCTCTGTATATATGTATCACCGGTTCTGTTCTTCTAGAGAACCCTAACATCCTGTCCTGTGGCCCGCCCTGCCAGGCCATCGCGTTCTGGGGTGGCACCAGCGCAGCTCGGAGGGGTCTGCTCACCAGCCAGCTCCCCGTACAGGACCACGGGCCTGTGCTGCAGCGCCAGCCCGCCCCTCGGGCGCAGGGCAGCCGTGACCGCCTGGGGCCCCAGGAGCAGCCAGAGCACGGGCCGGACGGCCGAGGTGTCGTTCAGCGTGAGGTTGTAGCCCAGGTCCCACTGGAGGTTGTTCCACAGCCGTCGGTGCAGCATGACCTGCGGGACAGGTTCCCGGCTGGTCTCGCACCCGGCGCGCCCGGGGTGACCGCCACAGGGCCGACCGCGCCCACTCCTACCTCCACCTGCCCGCTGCCCTGGCTGGAGACGCCGTGTGCCCGCTCCGACAGCAGCACCAGCCTGCTCCGGTGGTCCTCGATGAAGGCCGCCTGGACCATGGGGTAGTAACTCTGCAGACACAACACGGCAGGCTGAGCGCCGGGGGCGGGCGAGGAGGCCAAGGGTCAGGGCTCGCCCCCGCCCCCGGTCACGGTCCGCACGGCAGGCTGCAGCGTGGGCAGGGGCCTGACAGGGCGCTCTGCTGCTTCCTGGCCACAGGACCCTGGCGGATCAGCTTCGCCGACCCAAGCCTCAGTTTCCCCATCTGTAACACGGGGTCACACAATGGCTGGAAAGAATGTGTGAAGGCGCGTGGGCCAGTGCAGCTTGAGGCTGGCCCTCGACCGATGGTCACCTTGCAGAAACAGGTGGGATGGCTGGGGGAACAGCACAAAGCCCCTGCGCCTGCCCCCTCGGAGGGGATGGCCTCGGCTCACGGGCCTCCTAGTCGCGGTGGTGAGAACCCGCAAGTCGGAATGGAAGGAGAGAAGCAGGAAGAAGGCAGAGTGGCATGGGGACACACCTGCGTGGGGGCCGGCCCCAGGGGGTCACGGGGGGAACAGAGCTGACCTGGTGGAGGCCATGTGTACCTAGTGCCACGATGTGCCTGGACCGGCCCGGCATCACAGCTCGGGGTATCACTCCTCTCCCAAGAGCACAGGAGGAGTGGGGACATGCGCGCTCCCCCCAAGGCCAGAGGCTCGGCATGAGCTTCCGGGAGCAGAGCCGGCCTGACCCCCAAGCTGCACTGAGGGCCGGGCAGCATTCCCGGTAAGACCCGCTAAGGTGGGTCCAGGCCCTGTAAGCACTCGATGTTGCCCTTCATTTCAGAACAACCCTTGGTGAGGTGCCCATTTTACAGAGGAGGAAACTGAGGCACAGGCTGCTTCAGTAACCTGGCCGAACTCACTCAGTACCTGGTGTCCCCGTCTGACCCCAAGCCCGCCCCTCAGCCCCTAAGGCCCAGTAGGGTGCACGGCGGGATACCCGAGCAATGCTGTTGTCGGTGTGCACCAGGGGGGGCCTGAGCTGCATCTGGTACCCGTTGTCATCCGTGTGGATGACCTGCTGGCTGTCTAGGTCGGTGCTGGTCCTGAGCACGGCCTCACGGTTCAGCTCCAGCGGGCCCACCCGGTACTCCTGCTCGATCCGCCCGCAGAGCAGCTCCCCTTCAGAGCCTCTCGGTGGCACGTGGGCCAGCCGGGAGTGGATGGCATACATGTGCTCTTTGTCTGCTGGGTCCCTGCAGGAAGACAGGGAGTCAGGAGACACAGCCAGGAGTCTTCTGGCTGCTCCTTCCCTCTTGCCTTTCTGCAGGGGTCAGCTGGGAGGGAGGGGGAGGGAGGGAGAGGTGGGA